TCTCCATAGATGGCGGCTCAGCAAGGAGAAAACAGAGGTCATGCTTCCATTTCCGCTTTTTGGGCGTTTTCCGCGTTTTGGCATTTTTTGCTTGAAAAATGCTCAAAAAGTCATTTTTGACGTTTTGAGTTTCCAATTCAAATTTTTTTTTGTTTTCAAAAACGCATTTTCAAAAATAGAAAAGAGAATGCGTTTTCATTGTTTTGGAAAATCGAAAACAGAAAATGATCCAAAACGGCCAAAGAGAACACCACCAAGTGTTTGTTTGGCTCAACTTATTTGAAAATTATTTATAAATATTCACCAATAAAATGAGATACATACTACTATTTAATAATATCAGAACTCATGCATAAACTCTAATATTATAAAATAGGCTAATTGGCACAAAACGTCCCTACCTTTGGAGGGTATTGTAGATACCGTACATACCTTTCATTTCTTGACATTTATATCCTTACCTTTCACTTTTCTTGTGCCGAAGGTCCTTTTCACCATGTTTTGACGATTTTACCCTCCNTTTTCTTGTGCCGAAGGTCCTTTTCACCATGTTTCGACGATTTTACCCTCCATTCAATTGAAACAAAAAGAAAAGAAAAGAAAAATAATTGAACAAATTGCAACTATTGACCCAATTTTTTTAAAAAGTACAAATAACCCACCAAACTTCACCTTTTTCCCAAAACTCGCCCCCACTCTATCGCCGCCTGTCGACCATTTTCAGGCCACCGAATTTTTGCACCAACATCATCTCCTCATCCATCCCTAACATTTCTACACATATTTCAATCCCAAAAGACAATAATAACTGGATCCCTCATCCTTAAAAAGTACTAACGAATCTTAAATAAATTAGAAAAGAAATTCTGGTGGATTGGGATAATGAATTGGCTGCACGTTTAAGGTCGTTTGATGTTGAATTTTCAGTTTTCTCATGTTAATTAGTAAGTTGGGGCAGATTTGAAGGTTCAATTGAAAGGTGGTCGAGAGGCTCTCCATGCGTAAGAACTGTATAATCACGAATTAGCTGATTCGAGGTAAATTGATAAGGACCCATGTATGCATTTTGTTTGCCATGATGGTTAGAAGCTAATGGTGGTAGACCGAGACCGTAGATGTCGGCGTCGGAAATTGGAACAGAAGGTGCGTGGTTTGCGACCTTCGAACTAGTTAGGTTAGATTCTAATTTAAAATGTTTCGTGATGATATGTTAACATGTAATTGCTCGTCTTGTTGAGTATTAACGGCCTGTGATGGAGATTGGTCATTGGTGGTGATGGGTTGGCCAGAATCGGAGGTAAAGTCGTGGTGTAGGGGTGAGTTTTTGGACCTGAAATTCTTCTGATTTTCGATCAGCTATGGCCATTTTTTGGTATAAGATTGTATAGTGGGATGAGGAGATGTTGGTGGTGTTAAGATCCGGTGGTTTATTCGGCGCTATAGTGGTCAATTTTGGGGTTGAAGCCGTCGACTCCATAGGGTGGAGATTTTCTCCTTTTTTTCTAAGGGAATTAGTTCTGGTGGCCAACACTCAGTAAGTTTTTGTCCAAAAGGCCTTTGACCAGATTCAATGTTCATGTATTTGAACCTTCAACCTCTAAAAAAAATTATACTTCCATCACCACTATAACATTGAACAATATTGTTTATTTTAATACAATAATATATAACCCTATAGTTCTGAATATCTTGAAAAATTATATTTAATATTTCACTTTATTTTATATACATATTATGTATTGAAAGATTAATTTTAATAAAGATGAAGAAATGTTTACAAAATTTATGATTTCAAAA